TAGCTGGGACTATGGGCGCCCACCACAATGCCTGGCTATTTTTCAAGATAAGTTCTCACTCTGGCTCAGACTTGTCTCAAACATGTGAGCTCAGGCATTCCACCCGCCTCAGCCTCCCAGAGCACTAGGAAACTTTTTTTCCATTTGCTTTTTATATGTGTACATTTGTAGAGTACAAGTGCAATTTAGGTACATTGGTACATTGCATTGAGGTAAAGTCAGGGTCTTCACTACCTACACCACTGAATAGAAACCTTCTGTGAGGAAAAAACAGAGAAATATAATAAAAGGTTTATATGTAAGAATGATAATCCTGCCATTAGGTGGAAATAATCTATTAATAATTGTTCATCATTGACTATGATTAAATAGATTATATGTCTTTACGGAATATTACGCTGTTATTAAAAACATCCCTTAGGCTTGGTACCTGTACCTCAGAAGCTAGGGTGCCAGCCACATACAACTTCGAACCCAGAGCTTACAGGTTCGAACCCAGCCTGGGCCTGCCAAACAACAATGACAATAACAACAAAAAAATAGCTGAGCTTTGTGGCAGGTGCCTGTAGTCCCAGCTACTCGAGAGGCTGAGGCAAGAGAATTGCTTAAGCCCAAGAGTTGGAGGTTGCTGTGGCTGTGATGCCACAGCACATTACCAAGAGTGACATAGTGAAACTTGGTCTCCAAAAAAAAAAAATCCCTTAAAAGAACAGTTAATAGTCTAAGGATGATAATATGAAGTTTATTAGAAAAAGCAAGTTAGGATATGATTTCAAATTTAAATAAATATTGTGTTTGTATACATATACATAATTGTATTTGTATATACATTTCATTTTTGTTTTTTGAGACAGAGTTTCACTATGTTGCCCAATAGAATGCTATAGTGTCACAGCTCACAGCAACCTCCAACTTTTGGGCTTAAGCGATTTTCTTGTCTCAGCCTCCCAAGCGGCTGGGACTACAAGCGCCCACCACAATGCCTGGCTCCTTTTTGGTTGTAGTTGTCGTTGTTTGGCAGGCCCAGGCTAGGTTCAAACCTGCCTGACTGGTGCCCTAGCCACTGGGCTACAGACGTTGAGCCTGTAAATACATTTTGAATTTATATGAGAGTTAATAGACTATACAGAAAAATACCAAAATATTAATAACCATATACACTATGCAGTTAAATATTTAGAGCAGTTGTTCTCAACCTTCCTAATGCTGCAGCCCTTTAATACAGTTCCTGCAGGTCACGACCCACAGGTTGAGAACTGCTTGTTTAGAGAGAAAAAGACAGGATCTTCAAAAAGTTCCTATATAGTTTTTTTTTTTTTAACTTTGGAAAAATGTATGGTATCTGTTAATGGCACCTCCACAGATGATAAGGAAATTTTTTTCATTTATCACAGGTTATAAATCACCTCCTCTGCATTGACCTTCTTTTAATTAATCATGTGATCTCACATTAAAATTCACATTGTGTTTTACAAATAAAAATATAAAAATAAAATGTGGTGGGTAGGTTGGCTCACACCTGTAATCCCAGCACTCTGGGAAGCCAAAGCAGGTAGAGTGCCCAGGTAGATTGCCTGAGCTCAGGAGTTCAAGACCAGCCCGAGCTAGAGTGAGACCCCATCTCTAAAAAATAGCTGGGCATTGTGGCGGGCACCTGTAGTCCCAGCTACTTGGGAGGCTGAAGCAAGAGAATTGCTTGTGCCCAAGAGTTTGAGGTTGCTGTGAGTTAATGATGCTACTGTACTCTACCAAGGGCAACAAAGTGAGACACTGTCTAAAAAAAAAAGTGTGCATTCAAGTCAGTTAGGAGTTTGTTTAGCTATATGTAACAAGAAACCCAAATGATAATACCTTTCAAAAGATGGAGGTTTGTTTTTATCTCATGTACAAGAAAGCTGGCAGCAAGATATCAAGGACTGGCTTGGTGGCTTCATGGTCAAGAATCCAGACACCTTCTTCTTGCCCCCCGCCCTCAATGTATAGCCCCATATCAAACTTACCTAATAGTGCTATATGGCTGCTGATGTTCCAGCCATCAAGTTATATTCCAGGCAGAAAGGAGGCAAAGTAGAGGCAAGCAGTGAGGCAGCCCCCTTTCAAGAACTTTCCCCGATGCTCTGTTCATGCTATCAGTTGAAACCTCATTAGCCTCCTTTAGCTGCAAGGGGGGCTGGAGAGTGTGGATTTCTAGAGGTACACATAGACCCCATAGTAAAGAAAAGGAGAGATGAATTATAGGCAGGCCACAATTATCTAAAGTGCTTATCTCAGACTTTGATAGTATAGGCTCAGATTTTGCAATAACTACAACCATGCTACAGTGATATATAATTTGTGTTATGAAGAAAGTGATATTAGCTGGGAAAGTTAGAGAAGCAAAATTTTGGAAAAAGTACTGGATAGAGATCAGAAGATCTGGGGTTCAAGTCTTTGATCCTGCATGAATTGACATCTCTGGGCTTTCATGACTCACCAAAAAAAATGAGGGCAGTGATTCTTAGAGCATCTGCGCCTCAGTCTTGACCTTGCAGTGGTTCATCCCCCGCTGCACACATCCATGCAGATCCCTGGCCCACCCTCTCTGTACCTTCTGCCACCTTCTCATTCCAGCCAGAATCATCTCTGACCTACCCTCTTACCGGGTCCTTAACTGGGTTTGCTGGCTACAGCCTCTCTACTCTCCCATTTGCCTGGACACTGAGATAAGATGATCTTTTATAACCACAGATCAGAGTCAGTCCTCTATTTTTAACGTTTTGTGGGCTTTTCCCTTTCCCTCAGATTGAGTTTAGCATCTGAGTTTGAGCCTTAGCCCACCTCTCTTTTATTTTCTCTACCTTTACCTCTAACCCCCACCCTTCTGCATCTACACTCAGCCCATTTCTGTCTTTGACAGTCTCTAAATGTGAACACACAGTGTGCTCTCACCTCCTGCCTTGGTAGGTGCCCTTTCCTCTCTCTGAAATATGCTTCTCCCCTCCCCCAGCTCCAGCCTCTGGCACTGAGCTCCTTCCTGTACCCAAGGACTGTCTCAGTCTCTGGATTCCTATAGTCCTGAGTGCCACACTGTTTCTAGCACATTCCAGATCCTAGGCACTTTTCTTATTTCTTGTCCATCTACCCTCCCATACTCAGAGCTTCCTACAGGTAGGAATCACATCTGAAAGTCTTACTGACACATAATGCCTGGTATAGGAGGTGCTCACTGCCTATCTCTCAGATGATTGGGGCTGGGGCTGCCTTTCTAAGTCCCCTGCAGCATTTTCTGGGGTTTTCAGACAATAAACACATATTTGTGGTTTGTGCTTCAGATGACCTGCCTTTCACTCGTAAGGAAGCGCCCAGCCCCACCTGTCCATCTTGGCTGCAGAGCTGCTTATTCTCACCATCTGGGGCTCAGCTTCCTTCTTTTGCCCCTCCTCATTGGTCTGCTGCGTGCTATAGTCTGCCAAGACTTGTACGGGCTCCCAGAGCAGTAGGGAGGACGGGCATGAACTTGAGTGTGTGAGCTCCTATGGGCCATATGCACAGACCACACAGATGTTCCAGAGGGGCTACAGAGAGGAGAGAAGGCTTCACTAATTTCCTGCTGAGGCTGCTGGCCTAGGCATAGAAGACGGTTAGAAAGAAGAGAGCAGCCCTTTCAGGAAGGGGCAAGAAGCCAGTCACATCCCAAGTTGCTGCAGCAAATGTGTTCTCCCCTCCATGTTTACAAAGGCTGTCCTTGGCTAGTTGCCACCAGCTGTTCCAGAGATTCACATACCATGTAGACACCACACTGGCTCAGGAACCTCACACCTCAGAGGCTCCTCCACACTGGACCTGGCATATCAATTCTTTCTCCATTGTCACTTTCTACTCCTTACAGGGACAGAATTTACAGCTTCCCGAGGCAGCTGATCCCATTTAATGGTCCCCCATTGTCGTGGGCCTGCCTTATAAAATACATTGAGGAGGAGGGAACACCACATAAGGGTCTGGACTCTGAGTCTCGGCTGCTGTAGGTGGCAGCTCTGACCTTCGGCAGTTTACCCACGTTTATTTAAAGAGCAGTTACTCGCCCCAAGTTACCATAGGTAGTGGCCAACTGCTCTAAAATCCAGATTTTCCAATGCTCAGCCCTTTCCTCACCAGTTCTACTTGTTCCTGAAGAAGTATCACTCAAGAAATGCTTTTAGGGGAGGCTCCTGTGGCTCAAAGGAGTAGGGCACCAGCCCCATATGCTGGAGGTGGCGGGTTCAAACCCAGCCCCAGCCCAAAAACTGCAAAAAATAAAAATAAAAAAAGAAACACTTTTAGAGAAAAATTGTGACAGAGACCTTTTGTTCCAGAGAAAAGATCTACTATATCTCCAGGTTATGGCTCCCACATCAACCCACGACAGTGAGGACATGTGGGCACCAACAGAGATACTTAATTAATAAGGACACTTAAAGAGTGGGGCAGGAGCAAGAGGAGGCAGGGGTGTGTGAACGGGGGCTGCTGGCCTCAGCCCTACCCAGGACAGGCCATGGAATATTGTTTGCACTGGCCGTAATGCAACACCTTTTCTGCCCCAGCATAGACAAAACCTATCTCTCCATTATGCTGAAAGCCTTTGCTTATGGAAGAACCAGTTCTAAAGGAGGGAATTCCTGTGAGGAGAGAGGTGCCGTGCATGGTCTGATGGCTCTGCCTCCAGCCAGCTGCCTGCGAGCCTGGTGGACGGCTCACCTAGCCTCGGACACCCCCAGAACCCAGGCTGCGGCCGCCCATGCCGTTTGAGAGAGAAAGAATGGATGTGTGGATCTCTGACTTTTCCCAGTGAGAAAAGTGGAGTTGGATGGTGCCGGGAGCTAGCAAGGGCAATCTGGAGTCCGCTTTGCCCCATAGTGCGGTTTCCAGAGGGCGTCCCTGTGACGGCAGTCATTTGTATTGTAAATGTTAGAAGCAGCCTTTCTGACCTTTCACAGCAACCAGAGTCCCACAGTTCTTGATCTGTGTCTTTTCTTTGCCTTCAGGTCCACATTGGCCAATTGTATTCGACTAACAAGCTTGTCATTGAGAATCAAGAGAAGTCCAGGACCTAGGAGCCGGAGACCTGCCACCAGCTGCAGCCGGGGACCACCTTCCGCATCCATTCTGTGCTTGGCAGCCTCCCGCTCTGCTGACAAACTGAGTCACGTTTCCGTTTTGTCGCAGCCTTACTGGCTGTCTCTCCTCTGTTGAGGTGTTACAGTGAGAGCTGGCGCTCACTCGGAATAATGCTATGTATCATCCTCTCCACCCACCCCTATTCCGTAGCTTGTCACCACTGTGTGGCTTATTCCCAGACTTTGTTTCCTGGTCCTTCACAATAAATGCAATTATCTCCTAAGCCTTTCACACCAGATAAACCCACCAGAATTAATGCATGTTCATTTCCTGATGATACAAGGCCTGCGAAGGGCTGTGGGGAACCCATAGAGGGGGTCTAGCCCTGAGCCAAGAACTCCCTTTATGAAGGCAAGTCTGAGCATTAGTGAGATTTAGGGGGCAGTGGGGAGTAGGGCAGGGCTGAAGGGGTAAGGCGCACACTGTGCTTTATACCTGGGCCCACTGCAACAACACAGAAGCCGGCGACACACCCAGACCTCATCACAGCATCAGCCCCACCTAGGAAGTTCCTGGAAATGCAAGCTTTCAAGCCCACCCCACACAGCCTGACACCACCTTCGGGTGATTCCATGCTGGAAACTGACACCATAGGGGTGAGGCACAATAGTTTTTCTATATTTGTCAAGCTCTGCCTGTGTTTTTCATGGTTAGCTAGTTTGAGGACCCTCTGCTCTGTAAGTGTATTCCAGGTAATAAAGGTATTGTTTGTATGCTTTCACTCTTGGGAACACATTCATTCTGAACATACAAAGAACATATTCAATAACTTCCATAATTTCTGGGGCATTTACAAGAGACCAAACCCTGTCATAGTGATTTCTTGTGTCCGTTTTTATACAGTGCTAAGTGATTCAGTATTTCTGTGTTAAGGTTTAGAACAGGCTCATAAATATTTTACAGTTGCTTTAATAGCAGTGGCAGGGTCACCCCACGATTCATTCCAACCCTTACAGTCACGTCAGTGCACACAGCATTGAAGCCTGTGCCCTTCTCGTCCTCATGCTACAACTCACGTCAATCCATCTCATCTATTGAAGGTAGATTTGTTGTCATAGTACATTCAAAGTAGATGAAATGTGTAGTCATTCTATTTGACAGTACACCTTTTGATTTCAGAATAAAGTCTGGTGCACCCTCGAGACTAATGCAGCTCTTAGTAGGTTCTAGATCTGTTAGCTTCCCAGCAGTCCGCTTCTAGGAGCTGCAGAGTTGGAAGAGCCAGTCAGCAGACAGCAAACACAGTGATGTGGAAAGTGTGATCGGTCTCTTCTCCCTCCAGCTGCCTGTCAGGGGCAGGGCCTCCCAGCCCGGGTGCACGTGGCTCTGGTTCACTTCTCGGCATCCAGCACTGGGTGGCACGGCTGCTTTATGCTTAATTTAAGTAGCTGCCACTTGAAAACCTAAGTCCAGATTTGAACATCTCCCCTGAAAGTATCAAATTGCTAGTAAAATAACAGCTCCTCAGCAGACCCTACCCCACCCGCAGGTTTCAGCGAGGCAGTCCACCCAGCAGACGAACTTGTGCTACAGGCCTATAACAGCAGCTTGCTTCTATGCTAATTAAACCACACGAATGGGTTTGAACATGCCCAAAGCCTTGAAAATACAGAACTAATTTTTGTAACTCAGATAAAATTAGCTGTGCAACTGGAATCTGTAGAAAGATACAAATCAAAATTCCATGACAGAAAAAGTCACAGAGGTCTTGATTCTCCACTGCACTTGAGGTGTAGACTGGCTGGCAGAGCCTCGCACTGAGATTTCCCAATTCAAAGGACTCAGGGTTGACTCCGGAGCTTTGAAAAGAGTGGCATTCCATGGGGACATTCCCTGATGGTTCCATAGTGAACCATTCCACCTGCTTGACCAGGCCCCAAGCAAAGGATGTAGGGTGAGGGGATAGATAGGGAACTGCACCATCCAACATAGCCCCACAGAACTCTCTAGAATGCGTGGCTGCTCTGAAGGATGGAATCCAGGCTGGGGACTGTAAACCACCTTCCAGTGTCAGCATTTAGCAAATGAGAACTATACCAACATTAACTACCCACAGGTAAAAACCGTTGACCTGGCCAAGCCTATTTCTCAGACATTTCAGAGTTACACTGGGGTCTGTGTTCAGCCTGTTGAGCCAGAAGCCTTATATGGCCAAGTTCAGGGCTGTGTTTTTCTGATGACTATTGTAATCTGGACTGTGAGTTGGAAGAATTGGTGTAGATTGTTGTAACACACACTGTCCTGCCACCCAATAGCAGTTACCTTTCACTCCCTTCATCCACAGCCCCTTAATACAACCAGTTGTCCAACCTAACGTCCAGGAGCAAAGGCACAGGTTGGGGGTGAGGTCTACAGAGATGACCCAGCAGCCACACTGCCTGGTTCACTGGGATGCACACATGTGGTGAGATCACACAGATGAAGCTGGAAAAGCCCGTGTGGTTAGTCATTATCATGAACAAAGGAACAGGGATTGTGACATGCACATGCCTGGGTTTGACAGATGCCTCTCCACTAATTCATTGTTTGCCAGTTGTTAGAAAATAACCTGGAGAAAAATTGGAAATGGATAGACGAAGCAGTGATTTATGATTCAGCAAGCTTTTTCTGAGAGTTTACCTAAAATCTATATAGACGGTGGCTCAACTCACCTCTGTGAACAATAGAATCTCCACTTTTCAATCTTTCTGCAGCCCTTATTAGTAGCCCAGGGAGCCATTGGTGAAAATTGCTTCTCTTGTTGATATCCTTTTGGGGAGTAGGATAGATGCTATTGCTTTTACTCAAGGGCAAAGTTTTAAGTCTAAAGAGCCTAAAGAGAGAACCCAGAAGGAGAACTCTCGGAGATGAATCAACTGTATTCTCCACCTAGGAGACTGTTGACACCACAGAGGTGACAGCAGAATCAATGTCCTGCAGTCTTGAAATTAGATCACAAAGTTGTTGACACCAATAGAGCTGAAACCACATGTGTTGGAGTCTTCCTGACCAGCTGGTCCCAGGCTGAACATATCTGTGCTGACCACAGCGTGGCCCATGGTAATCATTAGCATTCTGACTGCACATCTCCAGCCAGGGACGCTAGACTTCAGTGAGCAGCTGGCTCTGTAGAGAACAGCTTCCTAGGAATGACTTACATTCTCTTCCTGCGAAAGTGATAAGCTTTCTTAGGTCAGTGGTACACAATAGAAGCCTTTTTCTTCAACAGCTAGAAAGTTACTTTGTCCACTTTGGGAGTACCAGTTAAATATGTTAAAGCACCTTACTACAGCTTCCTATCATTTACCTGGTGAATTCATGTGACTTCATCAAATATAATTGGTTCCAGGTTTTTAAAGGAGCATTTCATTTATGTCATGCATATGTTATAAACAGCACATGTCATAGGATACATGATCAAGGACTATAAAATCAACGCTAAGAGTCTTGTCAAGAGTTGCCAAATACACTCTTGTGTTCTTGCTACTTCAAGCATGTAACATATTTGGCATTATTAATTTGTCAAATTTTAGCATGCATTAAAATAGTTAAATTCTAGTCTTACACTTCCTTGTGGTACTCCATGAATTGAATCTTGGCCAAAGTGGAGAAGGGCTATCTCAGTAACTCAGATTACTGAAAATAAAATATTTAAAAAGAAAAAAAACAGAGAAAAGGAAAATGTTGTGATGGGAGTTCTGAGAACTGGGAAGGAACAGCCTGAGCTGGTGACTATCACCATGTAAAGGGGCTCTAACTCCAGCCCGGCCACTGATTGCCCTGGGAGTGTTTCCTGAATCCTGGTTAATAGAGGCTTCATGTTGAGAAAATATGGACAGGTGGATGAGGTAGCCCAGTATGGGCAGCCTAGGAAGTCATTCACTCCACATTCCATCTCTGCTGCCTCTTGGCAGTGAGATCATGGGTCAGTAGCTTCAATAAACTGTTTCCTTATTCATACAATGAAGCTGATCACAGACCTACCTTACAGCAAGCACTGCTATAAGGATGCTACCTGCACAGAGTTTTCACTATCTGATACAGAGCAGATAAGTAAGCAGTAGAGTTCCCTCCTGCCTGTCACAGAAAGACTTCATGGCTATCACATCGTCTAAAGATGAAATGTTATATTCCTTCAAATTGTAAAAGAAATGACAACCACCGTGCAGTACCTGTGGCTGAGTGGGTAAGGCGCCGGCCCCAAGTACCGAGGGTGGCGGGTTCAAACCCAGCCCCAGCCAAACTGCAACAAAAAAATAGCCAGGTGTTGTAGCGGGCGCCTATAGTCCCAGCTACTCGGGAGGCTGGGAGGCTGAAGCAGGAGAATCGCCTAAGCCCAGGCATTAGAGGTTGCTGTGAGTTGTGATGCCATGGCACTCTACCGAGGATGATAAAGTGAGACTGTCTCTAAAAAAAAAAAAAAAAAAAAAGAAATGACAACCAACTATAAAGAAAACTGGCCACACAGAAAAAAAACGTGTAACTAAATCATTTGTTGTGCCTTTTCTTTTCTGGAATAAAAAAGAAAAATGCTGTAATTCTGTTAAATTTCTTTGCCTTCTTACTATATAAGCTAGAACTTATCTTTTAACTTTGGCACACTGACCCCATTTCTCTGGAGTCTGTATCCTGGAAAGGCTATTCCATGCTTTTCACTTAAGTAAACCCTGTAAAACTAAGAAGAAGAAGAAAAAAAAAATACCTGACAGCTGCTGTATGACTCTTTCTAGGGACTGTCAGACACCTTAGGGCAGTGGTTCTCAACCTTCCTGATGCCACCGCCCTTTAATACAGTTCCTGTGGGTTGGACCCACAGGTTGAGAACCGCTGCCTTAGGGGGATGAAGACCTAGACCAGACATGGATTCTGCCCTTAATTGCAGGCCATTTAGCACTGTACTTAAGATATGTAGGTAAGTAGTTAAGGTCTAGGTAGATAAGTTATCCAGGAGAGGTACAGCTAAAGGAGGGCTGGGAGGAAAAGGAGGGTAGTACCCAGAAAAAGAAGGAATTAACCCTGCCTGAGCCACAAATGCTAGGCTGAGTTGTTCGTGGTGGGGAAGGACACCATCAGGCTGGGCATGGTGGGGTGCAGCAGAGCAGCTGGGTCAAGAGAGTGGCTGAGGGGGAGCCAGCAGGGAACAGGCTCAGGCACTTCTGGCAGAGAACAGTGGTACTGTGGGTTGGAGACAGAAAAGAGTAAGTCCAAAAGGTTATTAACAAATAATGAACTTGATAAGAGACTGATACACAGAATAAAGAATGGGGGGGAGAGCAAAGAGAATGCCACCGTTTTAATCCTGAGAACTGGCAGGGTGGGGCTGCCCCTTAACTAAGATGTGGGCAGCAACACAAATCACGTCCATACACACCTCACTGCACGGCTGCATACATATGTTTTACAGTGTCATCTTTACAGCAGAGATACTTTGGAGCATCAGCCCAGCTGAGAGTCCTTTTCTCTCCCTCACAAAGGGACTGGGGGCTCTTGCCAACCATTCCACAGCATGGTCCTATTCCCACTGGTAACCACAGCTGACAGGACAGGGGTGACACGTGACCCCAAAGCAGGCCTAGCTGTGTCTCTTAGAAACTCAGAACTAGGAGTGAGCACTGCAATTTCTATCTGGGCTGCTGGCTGAAACTCAAGTGACAAGGACTTGGGAGATTTGGAGCAGCCACGTCCCATCCATCGTGATGACAGAGGA